CGTCGACTGGAGAGATGGGCCGAACACTTCGAAGAGCAGTTCAGCTGGCCTCATGCAACACAACCAGTGGAGATAATGCATACGGGCGAATGGAACGTAAAGCTTGGTCGCCCTTCAGAAGAAGCAATTGGGTACGAAATAGCCGTAATGAAACGTGAGAAGGCACCAGGATCGGACGGTCTGTATCCAGCCCTCTTCAAAGAAGGCGGAAAATCTCTGGTGACCCACCTGACAAAGCTTATTGGTGCTATATGGGACGAAGAGAAAGTGCCCGCAGAATGGGGCACGTCGACGGTTATCCCCATCTCCAAAAAGGGTACGCGGACGCTATGTGAAAACCACCGTGGCGTCAGCCTGTTAGCTGTGGAATCGAAGGTGCTCTCTGGCCTTATCCTTCGAAGGTTGACTGGCAATAACCCTCTTCGGCGATCGCTCCTCTATAGTGATGCTTATGTCAACCCCATTACAGCTCTGTCGAACTCTCTATAAACTATGCTCATCTATGCACATCTATTCCCATATCGCCAGCCGTCGCTCTCTCTCTGAAATTAGAGGAAAAAGGCAAATGTTGCATTGAGCGACGTTCAATTCGCCATTTAGCTTTGGGTCGTAACACCGTATACAGCATTTCTTTCTCCTTGACCGCCGTTTTCAGCCGTTCCCTTTGCTAGTCGTTGTGCTAGAGTTTTACAATGTTTTTTTCAGCGCTGTGCGAAAGATCGCCCCATCTTACTAATTTCTCTTCTTGATTCTAGACTCCTCAAGCTACATTCTTTGGCCGTCAGAAGTTGATTTTGATCTACCACATACTAATTGTGTAAGCACTGCCTCTATAATGACAAATGCTTGCATACCACTGGTGACGTCGGTCGATGACTTCAAGGATAAAATAATTCGGTTCATTAACTGTTTCATATTGCGCCAAGAACAGTTGGTTCTTGATCAACTATGGATTTGCAATGGGGTCATTCTGGATGAATTAGACTTGTTCTTTACTGGCAAAATCCAGGAGGATATTCGCATTGATTTACATGGTTCAGTCATTTCACCTGGATTCATTGATATTCAGGTTAATGGAGCTTTTGGGTTCGACTTTTCCAACACACATCAAAATGTGGCACAGAGTTGTGATGTGATTGCCAGCAAGCTTGTTATGACTGGCGTTACTGCCTTCTGTCCCACTATCATTACCTCATCCAAACAAGTTTATTGTCAGCTTCTTCCCCAGTTTCGCGCTTACCGTGAGAAGCCTGGATATGCTCAGTTGTTAGGCGTGCATTTGGAAGGTCCTTTTATCAGTAAACTGCATTCGGGCATGCATCCAAAGAGTCAGATTTCAGATTTTGGATCTGACCCTGTCCAGGTACGCTTCCTTTGATAATTTATGCTTACAGCGCAGACGCTTCTAGACACTTACGGATCAGATTTAGACGTGGTTCGAATGGTTACGCTTGCCCCGGAACTCCCAGGTTCCGACCTGGTCATAGCGGAGCTTGCTTCCAGAGGCATAATAGTATCGATCGGACACACGGATGCGAACTGCACAGCTCTGGAGAATGCGGTCGCAGCAGGAGCCACTTTTATGACTCACTTATTCAATGCGATGCCCATGTTCCATCACCGACGTTCTCATTTATTTGGTAGTGTGACCTATCCGAACCCGGAGCTTTTTGTTGGCATCATCGCTGATTTGGTTCATGTGCATGCGGCTGGGTTGCGTGTTGCGGAAGCTATCGCTCCTGGACGCGTCGTCCTGGTTACTGATTCGAACATGGCATCCGGTCTACCGGACGGTGATTACACTTTTGGTGAGCAAGAAATTGAAGTTAGGAGAGGCGTGTGAGTTGTAGTGATATTATTTGCTTCAGCTAATTTAATCGCCTATTTCTGTTAAAACGGATAGGTGCCATGATGAAGCGCCCTGGTATTTTTTATAGTGGCTGCTTTTCTTTAATCTTCAAGCACCGACTATTCTGTTAGACAAGCGTTTTCCAGTTATTTCTGCTAATGACGTCTAAACGGACCGAAATGATCTGGACCAACATTTTTATCGCTCCTAGAATAATTGGAACGCAACTTGGCAGAGTCGGCGTGCACTTCGTTTATTGTTCGTTTGTGTGATAGCAGTGTTTACGTGCATATAGTAATTGTCTTGAAAAGCACAAGACATTCCGTTTGGAAATGCAAATAAGACGTTAAGAGCCAATGAAGTGACAAATCAATAAGCTGATGACTTTATGACCATTCGGGCGATCGATCATGCCAGGTAGGTATGCATAACCCTTGATCGCCGGGTACACCCACACAGTTACGAAAAGTGCCCTTCAATGCAACACGGGTTTTCTGCAGAGGGGGTTGTTTCTCAGGTACGTATTGGGTTTCCTATCCGTGAAAATGACAAATCAATTCGTTTGTCATGTTGGAACAAGACTTTATCGTTTGCAAACCTTACCCACCAAGAGCTCAGCACACAAGGGAAGATTGACGGCTCGACATGTACTTCTGCGCAATCGTCAGCTTACATTCTCTTGCTAGAAATGCCAAGCATCCAGTTCACATCGAATATTCTTTGTAAAGCCGATTTTTACATCGAAGACATCTAGGCTATCCGACAGGAATTGCTGAGTGCTTGTTCACTTACCATCATCCGCTTGTTTTTGTACTTAGGATAAGTCGCTAGGCCTCAACACTGTGCCGTTTCCTGTGGCGGCTTAAAAGTTTGGTTTCCTGGGAATTCGTGGAATCATCACCATCGACAGCAGTGCTCAGAACTGGCGCTTCATTGCCGTATTACCACAATTTACTTGAAGGCCTGATTGTGAAGGAAAGAAATGAAAATGGGTTGTACAGGGACTTAATGCTAACCTACCACAATCATTCAGAGTTGCTGACACCCACGGACACCAGAACACTTAATAGGAACTGACAGCAATGGCGTCTTTGACACTGACCAGCATCCATATTTTAGCATCTCCAGCTATATACAGGGGTAGGCCGCACGGACTTCAATCTGCAATTTAAGGTGCACCGACGGATTCTAGACTTTTTATAGCCTCTTCCACATCCATCTCTCTACCGGGTCAGCGATTGACCACCCCTCTGCTTGTGCCGCTCTGAATTTGGAGCGGAAAGCAGCATTCTGTCGTCAAACAATGACTTGATATATGCAATACATGGCCTAATCACCGTAGCTTTTGATGTAAGACACATTATTCGATTAAAGTCGCTGTTTCACAGCTTAATATTCTCTTCTAATTGTCTGGTTATGGATTCACTGGCGCCAGTCTACGTGAGCTGCGGTTCTAAGACATCGGTTATCGAACACATGAAAATGTCTCGGCCTTTCGATTCGAAGAGTACAGCAAAGCAGCTGATACACACGTCCCTTGAGGTCTAGGAATATGTCTCTGCTGAGCAAGGTGTTTCTAATTAGTAAGCGCGACCCCGGCCTTAGATATTCGTGAACCAGCCTCATCTCTCACACCTCTGTGGGGACTTACACAACTTCCAAGATACGTAAGATGCTCCACGAACTGCCGTACCTCTCAGCTTGTAAGCGGCTTATTCAGTGACTGCATATTCAGAAGCGAATTCTTACACTTTGTGAACGCAAAGCGCGTGTTAAAGACTTTGGTGAGTTTATCCAACAACACATGTGCTCTCTTCTTCGCGAAGACGAAGGTATCGTTTACATATTTCACATCGGTAAGGTTAATTATGCTGCCATATGGATACCAGGACCACAACATTGAATAGGAATGGAGAGCTTCAACATCCTTGTCGGCACCAGTTTATGCACGGAAGCTTTTTGGAGAGCACCAAGTTTTGGAATTCAAAGAACCTACGCTAGCAAACTTCGGGACCCCCTTCTTGAGCGACCGTATTAAAGATAACAGACCAGTCAACTGTGAGATGCACCTTGGAAATCCAGGAATACAAAAATCATGGATCCCTTATGAATGTGGCGTTGTCTTAATACCTGACGGAATGTGAAGATGAGGTCTTTAGAACCCTTAACTGGCCAAAATCCCCCTGCTGCTCTTGTATCAGCGCTCCATAGAAAACAATAAGACGATGATAAACAAGTAATGCCGAGAACCTCGTTACAACCGGGATCAAGCTGATCCCTCTGTGATCACCGCATTTATTATTACTACTTTTTTAAACGAGCGGCATTGCCTGGGACAGTCTGCTTTTTCCAAATGGAAGCAAACAGAATAGACAGATAGTGACTGACTTCACTCACACCCTTAGACAATAGAAGTGGATGGTTATTCGGACCAGGAGGTCGGTAGCACCTGAGGGAATATATACAGTCATAAGCCTATGACCATGTAGGAGTTTCTGGTGCAGTTCGATAATTCAAATAAATGACAGCAGGTGGCCACGAGAGTTGTTCTTCCACGTACGCATGAAACAGCTGTACAATGCTACTTGGCTTTCCGGCCTAGACTCACTTACGTATAGGACCAAATATCCGTTACGAAGTCCCTTTTGTTTGAAACCAGTGGTATGGGGCGATCGCTCAAAATCCGTAGACCGCCACGACCCGTTTTGTCCCGTTGAGAACCAGTGAAAGTGGATTTTCAACCAAAATGTTCCAGTCAGGGATTGTTTTTCTCAACTTTCGAGTGTTCTGACTATCTGATAAATCTAAACAATGTGAAACCGGTCGTGGGATTTGGGGTATTCGGTCCTTCCGATTTAAATCAAATAACAGAAGCTCCACTGAATGCCATCGTAGTGGGTTGTAAGGGATACCTGGGTACTGCAGATTATACCGAAAAATGTCAATTCCATCGGATCTCCAGTTCAAAGGTGGCGAAATACCCTTTAGTGCATGTGTTCAGGTTTCTGGCGCGTTAACTGCTGTGCACAAACTCTTCTTAAAAGTTTAGGCTCAGCCTCTGCCACGGCAGGTCTTGCTATATCGAGACTTCGAGGTTCCAAAGGACAGGTGACTGTATTCCAATGGTCTTTGCTTCAATGATTGGTCCTTGATAGTCGCTTCTGAAGGGTTTGTGTGGCAATGTCTATGAGATTATCCAGTAAATGTACCGTAAATTAATGCTATCCACTGTATCGGCCTATGCCTAACAACCATAATCACAATACTTTCAGAAACAGTTTTGGCGACGCTTTGAACGCCCTAATGCAGCGGACTAAGAGCTCAGCTATTCAGGCTTTCGGGGATATGAATGCAGAAGTAGGTTCAATTGAGTAGTTGTCTTGAAAGGAAATTGAGAAGCACGTACAAAAGCGAATGACTTCTGAAGTTGTGTTTTCTCCGTGGAGTGTGCTGTCTATGTAATACAAACTTTTGAAGTCGCTTATCCCCATGTTGCCCTCTCCCCGAATGCGAGTCAATCTCCAGCACAGATAGAACGCATAGCCATTAGCTAAAGGTATCGCGGGTGGATGACTGAATGCCACTCGTTCTCGAACACCTTTCTGAATTCAGATCACTCGCGTTGTGTTACTGCTCGTTGTGCGCAAGGTGCGCACACCTGGTCTGGTTATTGGGAAGCTCTCAGACTTTGATCTGAAGCAAGCCTACCGAAATCTCTTTCGGATATTGCGTCCCCTGATATTGGCTCTTACTGGAAGGCACTGTATGAAATTCTGCAGGATGCGGAGCGTTCCGTTTGTGGAACAATGCAACCAACTAGATCTAAGTGCTGGATCTTCAGCAACATCCTAGGATCGCTCGAAACTTGGGCACATACTCCTTGTCGTTTAGAGCGCATTACGACTCGGCGAACTGCCAGATATCAGTGAAAAGAAGAATTTGTAGGGATCAAGGAGGTCGGTGGGTCCAGAAGGTTGAGCAGATGGAGGAAACGAAAGACTGAATTTAAGCAAGTTATCCGGACTGATATGCGAAGTAGGCTCGGAGAGACCTCTGGTGAATGAACCAGTCACAGTTAAAAACTGCTCGCTTATCTCTAAGATAGGAAAAAACGCCTGAATCGTTTGATAGAACATTCTCAAAAACAATTCCACTGGCCATCTGCTGTTGCCTAGCCTGATTCCACTCCTCCAGTGGAATCATGGACAGTGAACCTGGACTTCTAAACGGCTTTTGAAATAAGTGAATGTTTTTTCTCCCTCGAGTATCACCGGGTTACTGATCCTGGCGAACTCCCACCCGCTCTAGTTAAAGATAGAGTTGGAGTTCCCATACGTTAATTCTCAAACTTTTTCACTCCTGTTTTGGCGAAACAGACCATCCCAGCCAACTGAAATGAGTCGGTAGTATTGCTCGTTTTCAAAAAATTGCTTGCAGTGAATGAGAATCCCAGAGGTTTTGATTTGATCTCGTTTTAGCCAGACTGTCGATTATTCCTCACCGTCTTATAATGGCGCGTGAAGACGGGCCCTGAGAACTGAAAGCAAGATTCCCACCAGGAAAAGGCTGTGTGAACTATATCTCCACACTCTTTAAATTGTAAGGGCTTGGTGTTCTTTGACTTCGAGAGCGCATTGGATTCTGTCGACCGGTTAGTTCTTTTAAACAGGCTTGCGCAGTAGGGCACACCCAAGAATTTCATGAATATCGCGTGCTGTTTGTATTCACGTACTTGTGGGCGTCTTAGAGTCAATGGAGAGCTCTCCAAAAGCTTTCCTACACACCGTAGTGTCCGGGAAGGGTGGTCAGTCTCTCCATTTTTTCAATTTTATCAGTGGTGAAGTAATGAGGTGAACTCCAAGGGTTTCCAAAACGGTTGTGTGCAGATCTCCGAGCGAGCACCCTATCGACCTGAAATATTCGGGCGAAATTGTGCTGGCTGTATTGTGCTACGGCGGTGTCCATCGATGTCTGAGATCTGTAGCTGGAGTCCGTTGGGGTAAGTGTGATTGGGAAACAGGTCTTTGGTGATGCAGAAGGTAATTCACCCAAAAAATTCATCCAGCACTGCAAGCTAGGTTGGTTGGTCTATGTGTCAAGCATATCGCATTACCGCCTACCCAGAAAGGCGTTGTTTTCTGCGCCTAATTGGGAATGTCGGATACCTGGAAGTGAACAGAGTATGACTTGGTAAAAGCTAATGTAGGTTGCTACGAAAATTTTCGGTGCCGTTAGTGCTGCTTGTCTTCCAGGATGGAGTTTACGTGACCCTCCTTGTGCTTGACTGGGAACACCGAAGGATATGGCGATCGATCGGTGTCATGCATGCCGTTGGTTTTTATCGAGATTGTCTGACTGGGTTCTGGAGGCATCTCGGATGTTTGTGTTTGGCTTGTCGTAGATCCACTCCATGCCCCATTTCTTTATTCTTTCGATTATTAGACTTTATTTAAATAAATGAACATGGTTTCACCTCATTGAGGCATCCATGTGCTCCGCTGGTGCTGCTGTCAATGGTGAAACTCCGGCAGTTGTGTTCCGTAACTCTCCCCGAGGAAGCGCTTTTGTAGTGTTTTTGGCATCGTCTCTGTTCCATTTACTTTTTGCTTTATAGAAGCCATCTTGGTCTTCGCTGTTAAGTACTATTCGGCACAGTGGTTTTTGCGATCTGCGCACATATCGGTGTCAGACAAGACTGTTCCACCATATGTTGACTTTGGTGCTGACTTGCTTCCGGACCCAAGGTGCCGCGATAGACTTCCAGCATGTAGACGGTATAATCCTTTTGGGCCGGATCCTATGCAAATTTAAGTAATGTTAATCGTCATCATTGTCAGAGACAACAACCTCAGTGTTGGCACTGATGCTTCACTGTCGTGAATGATGATGAAAAATGAATCGTTCAGCTGCAACACCCTTTCGGTGCCTAGCTGCCATGCTGCCCGAAGGAAGCACTAGGGCTGGGATACTGCCAGGTTCCCCAAGCTTAGACAGGGTGAGTCGAGAGGCAGAGATCGGGTTCTAACCACGGAACTTCTGTTCAGTAAATTCGCGCTCTAACCACTTGGGCAATCTCTCACTGCCGTAGTAAATAGTAAACATACATAATTCTACCACATGGTTCGGTATCCTCTTCACACTAGCAAAGTGCAATGTGCCAATTCCAGGTGCTTCTGCACCATGCCTTTTGCTTGAAGATAAACCGTTCAATGCAGTTAATCTAGTTATATATGTGGTCACCTGTTCTAACGAAAGGTGAAATTGACCTTCGAACAGAGAGGACTAGGACAGCTTTTATCAGCCCTTGACAACCACGGCATCGATGTAACATCTGTTTTTTGTCACATCCCCACACGCTTATGCGGTTCTGATACCTGGCCACTTGGAGTTGGAGACGTTAACAGGCTTTTGGCTTTCGATTTGGGTGGGCGGGGGATTCGTAAGTGTTAGGTGGACTAATGGCGTTTCATAGAGTGTACTGGTCTAATATTGTATCATACAGGACCGTTCGCCTCACACAATTCCTTCTGCCCAACCATGTGAGGATAGAATTGATCAGGGAGGTCAGATTATGGCCTGGTAGCGAAGCACGAAAGAAGTCGTCACCAAACTTGCGCTATAAACCATCGTCTTTATGGATGGGGACCCCTGATACGATCTAATCTAATATACAAATTTCTGGTATGTATAACGCTTTTGCGTGCCTAATGGCACGGAACTGCTAACTTCAGTCAGATTCAGAGACATACCTCGAAGCTCTCCTCGATCATTATAACTCGGTGGTTTCAGTTGTTACCACTTTTCAGTTCTTTCCTCAGTCCACCTTCGATCGGTGAAAAAAATAGTGGCAGCTATAACGGCGTGTCATGACAATTAAGCGCCAATGTATAGTAATGTTGTATTACTGTCAATGATGGTGGTATTGACTACGAGTTGTGAACAGTTCATAGCTGGCGGTATCAGTAGCTCTGTGTTGGGTTATTCAAAATCGTTGGTGTTTATATGGATCGGTCAAAGTAGGTTGTACCTTCTGAAGAAAAAACCTAACCTGTCGTGAAAACCTGATTTTGATTTCGTGGGCTGTCCAACAACTAATCAAGCAAGCGATCCCTAAAAGCAATGTTGTAAGGAACTACTGTGTACCCTGAGTTGTGGGTTTCCGCCAATCGCTCATCCGATATAACTTTATATAATGAGCATAAAACCTATCTTATTTTTGGTGTTCCAGGGCTTTTATCGCTGGAACAACTTGTCTTGCCGGCAGCACAACATTTCTACCTGACTGCATCTGCAACTTTTGGCGTGAAGTCTGTCAGTGTTTCCTCAAACCATCAGATATGACTGGTAATCCGTGGCCAGGCTTGGGAAAGGCCTTAGCCGCAGCTAGTACCAGACCAGCTAGAGGACTTCGACTGTATCAGCAAGGTGACTCCGCGACTGGTCCCCCAAAGCTGAGAAAGGGTAGTTTGGAGCCAGGAGCCGACGCCGATTTCGTGATTCTGTGTCCGAAGGCACTCAGTCATCCAGTTTCGCCGAAAGTTAAAGTAATATCCACTTGGATCCGTGGTGTACCGGCTTTTCAATCGCCAGAATGTAACTTCACCCTTTCGAACAGTCGACAGTCTGTTTAGTTTGTCACTAGTATCGTTCCTAGTCGCTGTGATTCGGTATCATTTCAGATTTCGATTGTGTTTGCCTTTCTGATTATTTGCTGATTTGTATCCACATTTCCCTCTTTTCATGTAAATGCTATTTTGCGTTCTAGTGGATTTGAATATACCAGCTTGTGTTTCTCTTCAATTTGTCACAGATATTGCTCTTGTTTGTTACCACTGAAAAGGTGACAAAACTCGGGTATTCCTTTCGGAGCTTAGCTGCCACGCAACTCAAGTATAACAAATGAAGTACAAACAGGTTGCCCAGGCCTGTACAGGAGTGGAAGAGCATTGCTTTACTCAAGATTTAAGTTTCTTTGTCAACAACGTACCTAGGTGTATGGGTCATCTTGAATTCATTACCCCCAAATCCGTGCGCCACTGTTGTCATCCCGTTCAGTATTGTCATCAGTACGCGAGCTCCTGATGAGGCACGTGGAAACGCGATTGTATTCCGAGCCTGTGTCAATGTATAGACTTTCGTGCCTTTCTTGCATGACCTGATAACCCCAGCCAATAACCCCCAGTATTGCTGGTGATTTCCTCCTGCTTTTTTGTTTACGTTGACTGACATAGTGTCAGGACGTTCGAGCCTAGACAGGAGGAGGACGCTTGGGCCCATCACGTAATCCGTTGGGCCCAAACGTCGGACTGAAAAGACTATTACAGGGGCAGGGCAGTGTAGATGGCCAGTATATTGTCTTCAGCCTACCGCTTGTTGTTGAACTGCGTGTCACATAGACGTCCACAGTGTGATACCGTGAGCTATGGAGTGTCTGGAGGTACCCCGGAACGATTGTTGTAGGCTTACACTAGATCTGTTTCCCATCCACTCCTATTCTTTTCGTTACGACAAGCTGTTCAAATAAATTGTGGTTTGTTCGCCAATGAAGCATGGATGTTGATTGCTAACGTCGCGCTGTCGATGATGATGAGGATCAAACCTATTCCCATCGAGGTACAGTTTTGAAGATCTCGTTGAATTAGCACAAGTTAACTTGTTGCTGCCATCTGGTAACAGCTGTCATTCTAGCCCTTCTGGAGAATACTTTTCGTAATCCTGAATATTTCTTCATTTGCTGACCTAGTGTGGATGAAATCTATCCATTTGTACCATGTACCAAAACAATTGTTTTGGACAAAAGCAGATAAATTTAAATGCAATCTTGTACTAACGTTTTGCTTTGCTCAAGGTTTTATCAAATATTAGGTTTTGCTTTGAAATTGGCGTGGTTGGTTCAGTGTTTTTGGATCCGAAGCAGTTGAACATTTTCCGGAACTCATTTTCTATGCCCAAGGTTGATGGGTAGAATCACCGGCTCGGCCATTACATGATCTCACTCCTATGAACGAAGTGCCGGTGTTCCTATCTGGTGTTGAGCTCAAGATGGCTCAGTGGTCAAGGCGTGAACTTACCGACAAGTAGGTCAGTGTTTCGAACTCTACATCTCGACTACTCCTGTCTAGGCTTGGGCGATCTGGCAGTACCTAAGTCCTCGTGCTTCCTTCGGGTGGCTCGACATCTAGGCACCGGAAGAATGCTGGAGTTGAACCTGGTGTTGCTGTTATCGATGATAATGTTTTCCCTGTTTAGAAGGAATTTTGTCTCTGGATAAAGCAGCATGTCTGAGTGTAACTGGGCAAAGAGCGATGTCCTCACAATTTGACAGTGCCTCATTTTGAAAAACCGAGAAGCACTGTACGGCTGTTTCATCCTTATTGGGAATCATCATCAGTGCGTATCTCACAAAACTCCGGAGAACCTTGAACCAAAGTCGGGTTTCACTCCTTTCCCAAATGTCCAGTCCTCACCCCTTAAATGCATTGAGTAATGTGTACAATTTGCGTGAGGCCTATATCATTATTGCTCGGTCCTCCTGAATTTCCCCTAACTTAGTTTAAAAGATATTGCTAGAAAAATCTCCCCTATCCATCCGATGTGAGTGGCGCATTATAACATTAGGGACTATTCTACCTCGGACTGTGAAACGTTCACACAATACTCTGGTCAGTACCTTTTCTGAACAAACAACGACAGTTTTTGTTCAGAATAGCAGTCACTGAGACATTCATCTAGTGTTATTAATACCGTTTAACCTACCGCTTACTTCGTTTCTCTACCTGGCGTACTTAAGATGCGAATTCTTTCGAAGAAGTTATTTGCGCTGGCTCTTGAATTTTTATTTTCCTTTCAAGTGGTACAAATGATGAGCAAGTGGAATGCCAATATCCCACTGTCAGAATAGCCCACGGGTGACACTCGCCAGGCACGCATTCGATCGTTTCCGTCATTGAAACTGAACACTGGGGACTAGTTTCTGTTTCGCGTGTATAGGAAAATTAGGCGTCCAAGTGATGGAAGTTAAAGACGACTCTTTTTGGAGAAGAAATTTACTAGAACACTGGATTCCAACCTACTTCACGGCCTTTTAGTAAATCTGTCGAAGTCATTCTTCCGTACATGTTGCTCATCGTTGCATAATATCCCCGACAATACGAAGATCGCCTACAAGTAGTATATCAAGCTTGATTATTCCAAACTGTTCGTGTTTTAAAAATGCAACCGAGAAGGCCCTCGGCCTAAGGACATTATTATTTCGGGGGCGATACTCTTTAATATGGGAGTTGGCCATTTTGGTTTGTCTGGGAATCACACAAGCACTAACGAACCACCATATATCACTTTGGCCATGGGATGATCACTTCTCATTGCTGTATTCCGTACCTTAATAACAGACAGGACTCAAGCAGTTGCACTGGCTCGAATACAGGCAATACATAGATAGGTTCCCTCACTACTTCACGGTAGAGTGTGCATATCAAGGACCAGGATTCCGGATTTTGTCACAGAAAACCGACGTCATTGAATTCAAGTGACACGTAAACCTACTCGACCGAGACGCGATGATAGTAATGTCGCAGCAGCTAGCATGCGACTTACATCGCATAGACTGTTGGTGAGGACAATACGCTCTTTGCCAACTTTTAAATTTTAATTACAGCTAATGAATCTGCATACTTCTGTCTACCCTTTTCAACCCTTTAACATAGCGTTGATCATCTTTCCTCTGGACATATTTTTCTCCATGGCAATCCAATAAACAACGACTATCGTACAGGCGCTACGATTGACGGTAGGCCGCTTTTGCTATTTTAATTGTATCGACTGGTCGTATTCGTTCCGTAAACTTGCTCAAGATCCACGCTTGTGCATCTTAACCTTGAAACACTAATAAAACTTTACTTACTTGCTGGCAGAACACACCCAGTCGGCTCTAATTATACTTTGCTCTCTCAGCTGTGTAAAATTTTGCCGATTAACCCGAATGGAGTGAAGCATGCCTTATGGAACCAGACGCATGTTTCGACCACATATTTGGCAACAGTGACATAGGGGATCAAGTGGTTGATGGACGAAAGGCAAAAAAGACAACGAGATCGTGACGAGTGTCAAACAATTCAGATAGCAGTTGAATCGGGCAAACAGTCAGCATTCGAGAAGTCGTTATATTCAAAATTCGAAGCCATTATTCCTTGACTCATTGAAGCTTCCACTGCTCTGCTGTGAACCACTGTCTGAGGAGAGCCAAAGAAGGATGAGAATATGAGAGCGGTAACGGAAGGGTTTAGTTTTCAAAAGACTCATTTACAACCCAGTTAGAGATAGCTGTGAAAATATTATGGCTTGTGCGATTAATGTGACCGAATTATGGAAGTACGACCACGTAGTTCGGGGGCCAGTACTACTGACATCAAAAGAGAATGACAGGCAGCTTGATTTATAACGATATAGTTTTTTTCTAATAGGCTCAAAATTTGCAAACCACTCTGCCGAATTGCTTTGGTATGTGTGTCGTCGAATCGGTCGGAGTAGGACCTCTGATTTATTTGTCATGGACAGACCTTACAAATATGTGCATCGTATGCCTCTTGGTCCGAGATTGCAACTCGTTGCTTCGGAAACAATAATGCTAGCCTTGATATTTCTCTGAATCGCATACATGTGCCGCTACTCTGAGCGAGTTGCCTTTCTTGATGGGATGAATCAAAAATTATGTTTTGTCTACCAATTTTGCATTCATTTTTCTGACTGTCTCTCTTGTCCAGCAGAACCACTGTCCGGAGACAGAATGACAGTATTGGTGTTAGAGAAAACGAAGCAATCGTCACTTATGCGTGTCAATGGTATTGCCCCAATTTCACTTGCCTAATACTGTTTAAACGAGTAAAAATTCACGTGTACAAGCACTCATGTAATTAGCTTTGTGCGTCAAACTCCCTCACGTTTCCGATAAAGGCCTGCTTACAATGGTGTAAGCAGACAAACTTTGACATTCGGCATGCGGATTCAACATCAACTTATCGAATACAGAGTCCATTGAAACCTCATACAGAGATCCTGTGTGTATCACATTAGGTGGTGAATTTCTCGGCGTCCGTATTGCACTGTTGTCATGCAAAGCTAACGCCTGGAACTGTGTAATCTGGCCGGATGTAGTGGTACACTTCTGCTTGATGTTTACCGATAAGGCGTATGCTGCAATAAGTCCAACTGACCGAATACTGGACAGAGCGTGCTGCAAAGGATACTACTGACTCTCAAAGAGAGTGTCAACTTATTTAACAAACAAACATTTGATTGATTCGGATGTTGGGAGTGCTTGCTGCTCGGCCTCGTTGAAAACTCTGAGTCTCTACGTGAAATTACTTTTAGCTGACACCGCACACAATACAGACTTATGTTTAACGATCATCGTGTTTTCTTTAATTCATCACAAATATCTGACAACCTGGGACATCCAAATGGGCTATTGGCTTGCCGATTACAGGTACAGGTGAACTTGTTACTCATTAAACAGCCTTGAAATGGAGATATGGCAGGTAACTGG